GTTTTTGTTTTTAGGTTCAGTTGTTGATAGTTGTGAGTTTGTTGTAATTTTAATGTTCATCATTTTTATCTTCTTTTTCTTAGATAAGTCCCTTTAACATTTCATATAATAAGGGCTTGGTGATGATGAACTCCTTTAACTTCACCTTATCTGGGAAGCACTTTATCTGCCTTTCCATTCTAAATGATAGCTTTATTGGATGGAGTAATCTAAGTTGTAGGACCTTGCTTCTCATGACTTGGAATACTTCTTTCTAGCCTTTTCTTGCCTGTAAGGTTTCTTTTGAGAAATCATCTGTTAGTCTTATGGGAACTCCTTTGTAGATAGCACTCTCCTGTCTTCCTGCTGCCTTTAAAATTTTCTCCTTATCTTTAATCTTGAGTAATTTAATTATGATGTGTCTTGGTGTGTTTCTCCTTAGATCCAACTTCTTTGGGACTCTTTGAGCTTCCAGGACTTCCTGAAAGTCTATTTCCTTCACCAGATTGGGGAAGTTTTCCTTCATTACTTGTTCAAATAAGTTTTCAATTTCTTGCTCTTCGTCTTCTCCTTCTGGCATCCCTATGATTCAGATGAAAAAAGAAGTCTCTCTGGGCAAGATCAGATGAATAGGGAGGGTGAGACACAGGAGTCATGCCATTTTTTTTTTGTCAAAACCTGCTGAACACTCAGTGCAATGTGGGCAGGTGTGCTTGTAAATCACCCATTATGAAATGGGCAAACACAATGAAAGGGTCTTCAAAAAAAATTACTGAATAACTCAGACACTCACAACAATGTCACTAGTACACTTTTACAGATGGGCTCCTAGAACACTCATCTAGCAGGAGAAGCCTATATATACTACAAGGGATCCACCTCCCAGAAGATAATTCTGGGGTTTTTTGGGGACCCCTTCATACACAACTTATCACTGTGTGTTGGAGTTAACATTTCACTAGTTTGAGGGATGTGTAGTAACCTTTCCTCCCTTTATCATTCTTCATCTATTTATTGTTTTAAATATTTCCTCTACATACAATGAGCACATTAGGCATTGCTTACAGCATAATTTATGCTCTAATTGTCTAATATAATTGAGAGAACAGCATCAGAATGAAAGTCTATTATATCTACCTATATTTTTGCTCTTTCCACTGTTCTTTCATCCTGATGTCATCAGATTCATGAGATTCCTTCTATTGCATTTGTCTTTGCTTTATGAACTTTCTATTTTTTAAGGTGGGCATCCAAGAATGACTTGATTTCCCCATTACTCCTGAAGGATGTTTTCCTTGGATAGAGAATTTTGAGATGACAACTCTTTTTCTTTTAGTACTTAGAAAATACAATGTCACCTCTTCCTGGCTTGCATGGTTGCTGATGAGAAATTTATTGTCATTCAAAAAATTTTGCCCCTATTAGGAATGTGTCATTTCTCTCTTGCTGATTTCAAGTATTTTTCTTTGTCTTTAGCTTTCAGAAATTTGATTATGATGTGCCTTTGTTTGCATTTCCTTGGATTTGTCCTATTTGGAATTTGAATCTGTAGGTTTATTTATAAATTGTTGGAAAATTTCACCCTTATTTTTTGGAATAAGTGTTTTTGTAGGAAAGATTACTAGAAGTAGAATCTCTGGGTAAAAGGATTCAGACATTTAAAATTTAGTAGGTATTTTCAAAAAACCCTCCCAAAGTTTATAGCAGATTTTACTCCTGCCAACAGTGGATAAAAGTGCCTGTTTACCCACCCTCTTACCAGCAGGAGTTATTATTAATCTATTAAACATTTGCCAATGTCCTGAACAAAATCAATGCATTGCTGTTTTAATCTGCATTTACTTTTAACAAAACTGAGCATATTTTCATGTTTATTGACCATTTGTATTTCTTCTCTAATTATCTTTTTTTGCCACAATTTTTGATGGGTGCTTCATTTCTTATCATTGATCATGAAGTACTCTTTGTTCATTTTGGAAATTATTTTTCTGTCATTTGTGTTGCTAATGTTTTTGCCAGTCTGTTGTCAGGCTTTTTAACTTTATTTTTGTTTTGTGTTTGTATTGTCAAAAAATTTAAAATTTCCACTTACTAAAAGTTATCCAGCCTTTTTCTGTCTCTAGAATTTTGGTCCTGTTTAGATAGATTTTTCCTTCAGCAAGGTTATAAAAATATTTTTTATATATTTGTCTAGTATTTCCATGGTTTCATTTTTACAATTAAATCTTGCATCCATCTGAAATATATTATCATGTAAAGTGAGGTAGATAATAGCAGATCTTTTCTATCAGGTTTTAAAACAGTGGTGTAGCGGGGAGTACATAGGAAAGTTTATGAGAATGTTGTATGCCTGGGAGGAGGGAAATGTTGGAAAACTATGGAGTCAAAAGGCTGTCTCCTCTTTTCTCAGTTTTCTGAGTGCTACCCAAGGGAAAGGTTAAGTTAACTGAGATGTGAAGGTTGAAAGAAAAACAAGTTTAAAAAATTTTGGAAAAAATCATAACTTACACTCATTAATGTTTTAAAAATTGTGGTATAATTGACATGCAACATTATATTTTGTGGTATATAACATAATTATTCATATTTGTATATATTGTGAAATGATCACCACCATAAGTCTAGTTAACATCCATCACCATGCTAGGAAAAATGAAATTGCTTATTTGCGATTTTTGTGTTACTCTTGTTTTGGTAGAAGGACCTTTTTCTCTTTTGATTAAAGAACGCATATAGTGACTTGGGTTAATATTATATTTCCTTTATAGTGCATCCTAGTGAGACATTTGTTTACAGTTATGAACCTTAAAGTAAGATACTCATTCAATTAACAAATATTTTCAATCATCTCTCAAGGAGGTGGGTATGCTTATGTGTTTGGTCTCTGGAATCAGACTGCTTAGATTTAAATTTCAGTCTAATAACGTATTTGCTGTGTGATCTTGGGCAAGTTACTAAATTTAACTGTACTTCAAATTACTCTTCTGCAAAATGGGGATATTAACACTTCACAGTATTGATGTCAATGTCAGAACAGTGTCAAACATGTAGCAAGCAATCAATAAATGTGACCTATTATTAATGCTAATCATTGGAGATAGAGCATAAGAGATACAGTCCTTTTAGTTACAGACCTTGCATTCTTGAGTAAGGATATAAATTTAAAAATTACAAATAGCACACTGGTTAGGTGGCTTAGTTGGTTGGAGCATCATCCTGTGTACCAAAAGGTGGTGGGTTTGATTCCTTGTCAGGGCATATACCTAAGTTGTGGGTTCAATCCCTGGTTGGGGCACCTACAGGAAGCAACCTATCGATGTTTCTCTCCTTCTCTTTCTCCCTTCCCCTCCCTCTAAAAATACGTAAATAAAATCTTTTAAAAAGTGAAGAGGATCTGGGATCATGTAAATATTTTACCTTTAATGTAGAAACTATGAGATACTAAAAAGAGAATGGGCTAATAATAAAAATAGGGATATAATTTAGTGGTACAGTATCTGCTATATATGAAGGAAATCCCAGATTTTATTCCTGGCATCTTCATTTCTCTTTGCCTCCTCAGAGAACAGGGCAGCGCTATACATTCTTCCAGTCTTTTTGTCAATCATACATATTTTTTCTAGTTCATGGAACACAGGAGATGCTCAATAGATGTATTTTTAAATATTTTATTTATTTATTTTTAGAGAGGAGAAGGGAGGGAGAGAGGGAGAGAAACATAAGTGTGTGGTTGCCTTTCGTGTGCCCCCTACTGGGGACCTGGCCTGCAATCCAGGCCTGTGCCCTGACTGGGAATCGAACCAGTGACCCTTTGGTTCAAAGGCTGGCACTCAATCCACTGATCTACACCAGCCAGGGCTCAATAGATAATTTTTGAATGAAAAATTATTGTATAAATGGAGTAAATGAGAATATCTGGGTTGTAGTACCTGCTTTGCCACAATGTAACTTTGTAATACTGGGCAGTTAGCAAGCTACAATTTTGTTATCTGTAAAATGGCAGTAATAAAAGTACCTATCTTTTGGAAGGAGCTCCTACCCTTCATGACAGCATGGATGGATATGGAGAGCATTATGCTAAGTGAAATAAGCCAGTCAGTAAAAGACAAATACCATATGATCTCACCTATAAGTGGAACCTAATCAACCAAACAAACAAGCAAGCAAAATATAACCAGAGACATTGAAATAAAGAACAAACTGACAGTAACCAGAGGGGAGGGGGGAGGGGATAACAGGGGTAAAGGGGGAAGGGTCATCAAGGAACAACTATCAAGGACACAGACAAAAGCAAAGGGGCATAGAATCGAGGGTGGGAGGTGGGGATGGCTGGGGTGGGTGGGAGTGGTGGAAAAGAAAATGAGGTAATGGATGTTTAACTGTGATGTCTTTAGTCTTACTGTGATGATGATTTTGTAATATATACAAATATTGAATCATGTTGTATATCTGAAACTAATATAATATGTTAATTATACCTCAATAAAAAGTATCTTTTGGATATGGTTTATGACAATAAAAAGATATAACAATTAGTACAGAGCTATCACTGAATTAATGTTAGCTACTACTATTTACTCTCTGCACTTTGGGGACTTACCCACAAAATAGGGGCAATGATTTCTGCCCTCCTTTCCATCTCAAGGTCATTCATGAAGCCAGCGGGAGTTAATATCTGATTCTGCAAAGGGTTATTAATATTAATGTTTTAACTGGTCTGAACCTACATTGTACAGCTGCTCTCCTCCACGTCCAGCAGGGTTATTTAACTGAAAATGCTTCTTTAAAGAGTCCCCATACTCCAGCTAGTCAAACATGCCCCTTCCAACCAATAGTACTGGAAACCACGCCCTAATATTATCCTTCAGTCTCGGAGTTCAATTAACCCCCAGCCCTGTCCCTCCTTGCTGGGCGGTCACCACGCAACTCTGCACATGGATTGGCCCCTGATGGCCAATCAACACTGCGCATTCTCTAGGGCTGTAATTTTTAAAATTCGCTACTGGTGGATTAGGGGGGAGCGTAGATCTGGTTGCGACCGATGGTTTCCCTGGCCGCTCCTGGTCTGGGAGTGCGTCCATGGTCTTTCCTGTTTTTTCCCCCAATCTCAATGTGAGGTAGGCGCCTTTGGGTTTGTACTGCCACTCTAATGCCCGGCTCCGTCGCACGCGTGTTAGTCCTTGAGTGTCACTCCTGCCCCTTGCTACACTGTGTCCTCTCTTGCCGGGGTGCATGGCGCCCCTGTCAGGAAACCTTTATTTTGTTCTCCAGCCAGTCAGCAGTCTGCGGGGTGAGCCTTGTACGAGCTTGGGCCGGAGTGTGTATTAAGGGGTGTGTTGGCAAAGCAAAGGAGACTGGGTCCTGTCTTTTAGATGGAGCATCCAAGTACACATTTACAAAACGTCTTTTCACTAGTGAAAGTGTGCCGGATCGATTTCATCCACAAGACGACGTATTTAAGTTAGAATGTTACTTTGAGGGATGTCTTTTGAAGTACAGGTAGATGGAAATATGTCCTTTCCCCCTTGTTATCTTTATATCTCCATTCTTTTATGTCTGCCTCTAATCCCTTCAGCTCTGGCTTGCCCATTGCTCTCTGCTATGTGATTAGAATCATAGAAGGCTAGAGGTCAAAGGGGCCTTAGAACCTTGCTTCTTAAAACTTTAAAGTGTATACAAATCACCTGGGGATGTTTTATCTCGCCTATTTCTATTTAGTAAAGGCCTAGCATGGTGCCTGAGATTTTAAAGGGCTAAAAGGTCCCATGTGATGTTAATATTGCCAGATCACTTACCACTGTTTGAAGAGTATGGAGGCTCTGGTCCCATTGCCTCAATTTATTAAGTGGAGAAATGAAGCCTAGGGAGGGAAAAGGAACTTGCCCAGTGTCACCCAGCCAACTACAAGCAAGGTCAGAACTAGACCCTAGGCATACTTTCCATCCCAGTGCTGCTTTCATTGACACAAACCATGATGCTTTTTCTTCCTAATATCTTGCTGTCTGTAACCTGCCTTTATATATAAAATGAAGTTGCTACTATTTCCTGTAGACTGTTTTGATCTACAATTTTGGAGTCTGAACAATTTGGGCTTCTAAAAGAATTGGTTTGCCCCTATTGGTTTCAGCACTGCTCTGGGATGCCCAATGAGGTCTTCAAGATGTAGGGGAGATGGAGAATCTGAAAAGTGGAAAGGATTCTAATTTTCTTGTTCAAGTAAGGCTCAGCATTTTGTAGGTGGTAGAAGTCCAGGGTGTATTGCAGAGAGTGCCCTTTTATGAAAGCATGTTTTTATGGTTCCAATCCCTACTCCTAGTGGCAGGGAAATTAGCTACTTAAGTCAGTGTGTCCCCCAAAGCAAGTGATTATTGTTCAGGAGAGTGAAGGTGGTATATGGCCATACTGTGAATAACTATTTTTTTTCTGAGGTTTAATTAATCTGTGACATTATCAGCTAAAAGTATTTTAGCCTTTTTTGCTCCAGTCTGATATTTTCTCCTTTCCCTTGAAAGACAAAGGTTTCAGAACATGAGTCTTTGATCATCAATAAAAAATTGTATGAGGTGTGAATAATAATAGTGGAGTAAGTGGTTTTCATACAGTGCAGTTAGGGGTGGGTTCACCCAATTTAGCTTTATTGCTGCTTGGCTAAGTTTTGAAGGATGAGATAGAAGATAGTTTTGGATTTGGAGGAAGAGAAGAGTAATTAATACCCACCATTTATTCTGAGTGCCTACCATGCTTAGGCTCTCAGGTACAAATATACATTTGAGCCACAGGATGCCTCTGCAAGTAAGTGATGGTATAGCTCTTTTGCTAAAGAGAAGCTGAGACTCAAAGATGCTAATCTGGCTGATTAAAAAGCCCAATTGCTTCTTTTTAAAAAGCCTGTGCTAATTCTACCTCCTCTCACTACTACACTAGAGCCTTTCATTTTGGACCATGGACTGTTTTGAAATGTTATTTTAGTGTCATTGGAGAGAGTTCATGGTTTTTTAGAAAGAGCTGGGTGATCTATACTGCTTACTAGCTTGTCCTGTGTATTAAGTCACTTAACTCATCTGGGACTATAAAATGGAAACAGTTTTGTTGTGAGGATCCCTGAGGTAATACATGTGAAGGCACATACTTGTACTGACTTTTCTCAGTGACAAAGTGTTTAATATTGAAATACTTCTCCATCCAAAGCAAAACCCAAATTCTTTGTTAATTAAATCTTCCCCTCAAACCATTGTCTTCTCTGCTTCCCTTTGTTACCAGCCTACCCCCAGCCTAGATTTCAGCCTCTTTCTAACTCCTCCCTAGCACACTCTTTATATTCTGCAATCAGACAATCTGGACATCCCTGAACCTTCTGTGCTCTCCATGTTCCAGTGTTTGCCTTGCCTGGGCTCAGGCTTTCTTTGCCTGGAAAATGCCCACAGTCTACTTGGGAATGTCATTGTCCCTTGCCGTTGAAGTCCAGGTCAAATATAATTATATTCCATTATATTTCTCTAGTACTTTGTATCTACCTTTGTGAAATCATTTGTCACATTTTCATGTTACTATTAGAGCTATACACATGCATAGTTCTAGGATAAGATGATGATTTCTTTGTTTTTGTATCTCTGTTGCCTGAAGTATCTGGTACATAGTGGTAAGTTTGTTGCATTGCCTTAGGGCTTCTCTTAGGGAAGCCTTTTTGTCAAATGCAGTTGAACTTGGTGGTGAATGTGAGTGGGGTTAGAAGGGCACTTTCTTGTGTATAAAAAAAATGATTCCTCCTAATAATGTATTTGATTGTAAGACACATAAATGTATCCTAACTATTAAGGACTCACAAACTACACCCACCTTAAGAAATATAGAATGGGGTCCCACACTAAGATGGAGTGAAGGTAGTATTCTCCCAACTGTTATAACGTCTGTTAAATTTTTATGCTAAAAGTTTCTTGTGCTTGAATGCAGCCCTTGAATACTCTCTAGCCTGTTGTGCATATGTGTGTGTGCAGTGCATTCTTGTGTCTTCTCGGTAGCATTATAATTTCTGTGACCAGGACCTCATGCCTTTTAAAGAACATTAATCCTATTGGCTAGCCTCCATCCTATATGACCGGTCACATTCTTGATTGTTTTCAATGTAAATCATGTCAGTTGTCATCAATGTTCCTAGGCCTAAATTAGGGGCTAGGATATAATTCCAGGGCCCACAAAAGATGGCAGGTGCTGTTCTGGGCTTTTTACATAGAGTATCTCACTTAATTTGAACAGTGCCCTGCAGAGGTAGGTATACTTATGTCCATTTTATAGATGAGATAACTGGACCCTGGAGACTTTCAGTCACTTGCCCAAGGTTAATTATGGTAGAACCAATATTTGAACCCAGATTTGCCTAACTCAAAGTCTGTTTTTCCTCCTAAGGATGCTATAGAAAGATTGGGTTTTCGCAAGAGTCTCCAGAGAATTCTGTGATGTTTCTAGTGAAAGGTGTTTTAAAAAGTCTCTTTTTTATTACAGCTCTGCTTTGGATAGACACTGCCCAATCTGTAAGAGATGCCATTGCCACTGCCACTACCACTTGGAAGCTCCAAGCAGGAGACTAAGAAATTTCAGTCCAGCAAAATTGTGCCCAGTGATCATGGCCAATCTGAAAAGGTTAGAGTAAGCTGTCTTTTCCAAAAGTGCCTCAGGTAGCCTCTTCCTGTGCTAGCTTAGTCCCTATCCTCACCCCTAAATCATTTGGAATATGTGTGGTTTAATTTGAGAAGGAGGGAAGGAATGGGGGCCCTTGTAGTTGGAGAAGACCAGCAAATTAGAAATTGGGGGGAAAAGTGTGAACTTTGCTTTTCCATAAAAGCATGACCAAAATGAAGGTCATCCTCCACAATTTTCAAAAGCAAACAATATTCAGCTCTTATAATGATAATATTCACACTTTTATTACCTCTAAGATGCTGAAAGCACCTTTCCAGAAAGCTGCGTAGTACATCCTGGGGACAGTATAAAGATTAAGTCAACAAATATATTATCAAGCTTTTTTTTTTTTAATTTGAAAAATTGATCCATTTTGACTCTGCTGTTTTGACCTTGTGGATAGTTTGACATACTCATTCTAATCCTGGGATGTTCTCTGTTCATTCATTGTTATACATACGTTAATCAGAATTTCACTAACACTTATGAATTGTCATTAAGAGAACATTTCCTAGAGCAAACATTATTAGGCCAATTTAATTTCCTTGATTAGTTTCCTCTCAGTACAGATAAACATTTTCTAATAATTTTCATTTTAATTTTACCAAAGTGATTTTCATGGAGAGTCCAATTTTTTTTTCCTCTGTAAATTGGCAAGAAATTTTTGACACATTTATCAGATTATTGTCCACATCAAATTTTCTGATTTAGAGTTCTGCCATTGTAAGTTTACTTTGGTGGTAGGGATTTTTCCAAGTGCAACTTTCTTGGGGCATATTTTGTAAATCTAAATATTTTTTAAAAATTTTGATTGTTGACACTATTACAGATGTCTCCCATTTCCCCACCTTTTGCCCACCTCCACCCAACCCCCACCTCCCCTTCCCCTGGCCTTTACCACACTATTGTCTGTGTCCATAGGCTGTGCATATACATTCTTTAGCTAATACTTTCACCTTCTTTTATCCAATCCCCCCACTCCCCTCTGACATTTGTCAGTCTGTTCCATGTATCCATGCCTCTGATTCTGTTTTGTTTTAGTTCATTTTGTTCATTAGTTCCACATATTAGTGAGATCATATGGCTGTCTTTTTCTCACTGGCTTATTTCACTTTTCATAATAATCTCCAGGTCCATCCATTCTGTGGGAAAGGGTAAGATTTCTTTCTTTTTTACAGCCCCATAGTATTCCATTGTATAAATGTACCACAGCTTTTTTACCCACTCATCTACTGGTGGGCACTTGGGCTGTTCCCAGATCTTGGCTATTGTAAATAATGCTGCTATGAACACAGGGGTACATATATTCTTTTGATTTGTTGTTTTAGGATCCTTAGGGATATATATCCACAAGTGTGGTCCATGGGCCAATAGGCATTTCCATTTTTAATTTTTTGAGGAAATTCCATACTGTTTCCCACAGTGGCTGCACCAGTCTGCATTCCCACTTACAGTGCAGAAGAGGTCCTTTTTCTCCACATCCTGGTCAGCACATGGTGTTTGTTGATTTATTGACAGTAGCCATTCTGGCAGGAGTGAGGTGATACCTCATTGTAGTTCTAATTTGCATTTCCCTGATGATTAGTGATATTGCACATTCTTTTCACGTGTCTATTGGCCATCTGTATGTCCTCTTTGGAGAAGTGTCTATTCAGGTCCTTTGCCCAGTTTTTAATTGGATATTGGATTGTTTATCTCCTGGGTGATGAGTTGTATAAGTTCTTTATATATTTTGGAGATTAACCCCTTATCAGATGTATTATTGGCAAATATGTTCTTCCATACAGTGGGTTCCCTTTTCATTTTGTTGATGGTTTCTTTTGCTGTGCAGAAACTTTTTAGTTTGATGCAGTCCCATTTGTTTACTTTTTCCTGTGTTTCCCTTGCCCTAGGAGGCATGTTACCAAAAATATTGCTCTGGCAGATGTCTGAGATTTTGCTGCCTATGTTTTCTTCTAGGATTTTTATGGTTTGCAACTTACATTTAAGTCTTTTATCCATCTTTAGTTAATTGTGTATGGCAGAAGTTGTGTAGTTGCATTTTTTTGCATGTACCTGTCCAACTTTCCCAGTACCATTTACTGAAGAGACTTTTTCCTCCATTGTATGTAAATATAAACTTTTATTGAGTTCAGTTTCACCTGTGAATTTTATTTAGGGCTGATTATTTCTATCAGTAATATTAAGTAGGAATTAGATAACAGATTGGCAGTTTATTTCTTAGCTAATTTGTGAGAAAATAATATTTTAATTTTTTACTAATTATTTGCACTAGGATTATTTATTGTAAACAAGATGAAAGACTAACAGTGTTATTTATAGTTATACTGTTTATATAAAAAAGTCTATATAATCTGTAAATATTCAGAAATCATATTTTAAAAGTATATGACTGGTTTAAAAGTATATATGGTTGTTAATATTGGATAGTGTACCAATAAATATGAGAGAAGTCAGAGGGAAAATTAACTTTATCAAGCTATTTTGCTCATTGTAAGAGTTACACTGAAGGTCATCTTGTCTCTTCATAGCCTTGTCCCCATCATCAATAATTACTTCCTTCAGGGATTCTCTAAGCATCAGTGAATGTCAAAATTTCCTTTTCTTGTAGTTTATTGGGGTTTATTATATGCATCCACAGTTACCTGGAGATTCTGGAGTTGCCCCCTGAGCTCCAAAGATGACTCAAATTCCCTGAAAAAGTCTGTTCACAATTGGGTATACTTATTTACCACTTTTACTTTTTTAGAGAGGGGAGAAGTACCAAGCAAAGATATCTTCATCTTCACCTCAGGGACCTCTCAAAAAGAGATCAGCTTTGGAAGATCTCACCAATGTGAGTATACTAGTCCAATCCTTTGCTGTGATTGTTGCATAAGGTTTAGCCAAACTCTTCCTTGAGAGTCCTTTTCAGTTTACCAGACCCTGACCCTTTCTGGAATGTTGAGAGGTGATTTTTATTGGAATCAATGACTCAATTTCATAAATTGCAAGGGCTCTTCTGCTGGCACATGCATCTGGGTTAATTGGTGAAACTCTCTGGAAGCAACAGATATGAAATTGTAGATAAATGAAAACTATGGGACCTTACATTTAGACAAAGTCCAGAGGTGGGTCATCTGGTTGCCTAGGCCTTGAAAGTAAGTACTGGTAGATTTGTTATAGTCTAGGCACTGTCTATCAATTCAAGCACTATGAGGATTTGGGAAAGGACATTGTTTTTTCTGTTGCATAGGACTGAGCTTAGCCAGCATTCCTGGCCCCCAGGCATTAAGTTACAGTAGCATCCCAGTCATAGTGACAATAAAAAATGTGCCCTGATATATGGAATCAAGGAACACCATAGATCCATGATCTGGTCTTCAACTGTGGAGATCTAGAAACTCAATTTTAACTAGAATTTTTTTTGAGGGGGGGAGTGTTTATTTTCCTATTGTTCAAATACAGTTATGCCTGATTTTCCCTCCATTACTCATCCCTGCCCTGCCCACCTCCCTCCTACATTCAGTCCTCCCCGCAGCCTCCATTGTCCTTGTCCATGGGTCCCTTATATATGTTCCTTGACTTGACCCTTCCCCTTCTTTTCCTCATCATCTCCCTCTCCCCTCCCCTCTGGTTACTGTCAGTTTGTTCTTTATTTCCATGTCTCTGGTTCTATTTTACTCGTTTCTATTGTTGATTGCATTTTACTTAAAGGTGAGATCATATGGTATTTGTCTTTCTCTGCCTGGCTTATTTCACTTAGCATAATGCCTTCCATTTCCATCCATGCTGTTGTGAAGGGTAGTGGTTCCTTCTTTCTTTCTGCTGGGTGTAGTATTCCATTGTATAAATGTACCATAGATTTTTGATCCACTCATTTACTGATGGACACTTAGGTTGCTTCCAGCACTTGGTTATTGTAAATTGTGCTGTTATGAACATTGGGCTGTATAGGTTCTTTTTAATTGGTGTTTCAGGGTTCGTAGGGTATAATTCCAGCAGTGGAATTTCCAGGTCAAAGGGCAGTTCCATCTTTAGTTTTTTGAGGAAATTCCATACTGTTTTCCACAGTGGCTGTACAAGTTTGCATTCCTACCAACAGTGTACTAGGGTTTCCTTTTCTCTCCAACCTCGCCAGCACTTGTTTGTTGATTTGTTTATGATGGCCATTCTGACTGGAATGAAGTGGTGTCTCATTGTGGTTTCAATTTGCATCTCTGATGGCTAGTGATGTTGAGCATCCTTTCATATGTCTCTTGGCCCTCTGTATGTTCTCCTTGGAGAAGTATCTGTTCATGTCCTTTGCCCATTATTTAATTGGATTTTTCTCTTACTGGTATGGACTCCTGTGAATTCTTTACATATTTTGAAGATCAAACTCTTGTCTGAGGTATCATTGCCAAATATGTTTTCCCATATGGTTGGTTTCCTTTTCATTTTACTGCTGTTTTCTTTAGTCATGCAGAGCTTTTTATTTTGAGGTAGTCCCACTTGTTTATTTTTTCCTTTATATCCCTTGCACTAGGGGACATATCAGTGAACATATTGCTGTATGGAATATCTGAAATTTTCCTGCTTAAGTTTTCCTCTAGGATTTTTATGGTGTTGAGACTTATATTAAGTCTTTTATCCATCTGGATTTTATTTTTGTGTATGTGTAACTTGGTGGTCAACTTTCATTTTTATGCATGCACCTGTCCAGATATTCCAACACAATTTGTTAAGAGGTTATTTTGGTTCCTTTTTATGCTTCTGCCCCCTGTGTCAAATATTAATTGATCATAGAGACGTGGGTTTATTTCTGGGCTCTCTATTTTATTCCATTGATCTATGTGTCTGTTCTTATGCCAGTACCAAACTATTTTGATTACAGTGGCCTTGTAATATGGTTTGATATCAGATATTGTGATCCCTCCTACTTTGTTCTTTTTTTTTAAATTTTAATCTTTGTTTAAGTACAATTTTCTCCCTTTTACTCCCATTCCAGCCCACCCACCCAACCCTCCCCACTTCCCTCCCATTAACACCCTCCTCCTAGATTTTGTCCATGTGTCCTTTAAATTTGTTCCTGTAAATCCTACCCATTTTCCCCTGAAATTCCCTCTTGTCTTCCAACTGGTCACTATCAGCCTGTCCTCTATTTCAGTGACTTTGATTATATTTTGCTTGTTTCTTTGTTTTGTTGTTTAGGTTCCTGTTAAAGGTAAGATTATATGGTATTTGTCTTTCACTGCCTGGCTTATTTCACTTAGCATAATGCTTTCCAGCTCCATCCAAGCTGTTGCAAAAGGCAGGAGCTCCTTCTTTCTGCTGCATAGAATTCCACTGTGTAAATGTACCATAGTTTTTTGATCCATTCATTTACTGATGGGCATCTAGGTTGCTTCCAGCACCTAGGTATTGTAAATTGTGCTGCTATGAACATCAGGGTGTAAAAGTTCTTTTGTATTGGTGTTTTAGTATTCTTAGGATATAGTCCTAGAAATATAATTGCTGGGTCAAAAGGCAGACCCATTATTAGTTTTCTGAGGAAGTTCCATACTGCTTTCCATAGTGGTTGTACCAGTCTACAGTCCCACCAACAGTGCATTAGGGTCCCCTATTCTTCACACCCTCTCCAACACTTGTTGTTTGTTGCTTTGTTTATGATGGCCATTCTGACTGGTGTGAAGTGGTATCTCATTGTGGTTTTAATTTGCATCTCTCTGATAGCTAGCGATATTGAACATCATTTCATGTGTCTTTGGATCTTCTGTATGTCCTCCTTGGAGAAGTGTCTGTTCAAGTCCTTTGCCCATTTTTTTAATTGGGTTGCTTGTCTTCTTAGAGTGGAGTCGTGTAAGTTCTTTATATATTTTGGAGATTAAACCCTTGTCTGAGGTATCATTGGCAAATATGTTTTCCCATACAGTTGGTTCTCTTTTTATTTTGATACTGTGTTTTCTTTAGCTGTGCAAAAGCTTTTTATTTTGATGAGGTCCCATTTGTTTATTCTTTCCTTTATGTCCCTTGCTCTAGGAGACATGTCAGCAAAAAAGTTTCTGCATGAAATATCTGAGATTTTCCTACCTACATTCTCTTCTAGGACTTCAATGGTGTCACAGTTTATATTTAAGTCTTTTATCCACCTTGAATTTATTTTTGTATAAGGTGTAAATTCGTGCTCGAGTTTCATTTTTTTTGCACATAGCTGTCCAGTTCTCCCAAAACCATTTTTTGAAGAGGCTATTTTTATTCCATTTTATGTTGCTGCTTCCTTTGTCAAATATTAATTGACTGTATAGACTTGGGTTTATTTCTGGGCTCTCTATTCTGTTCCATTGGTCCATGTGCCTGATTTTAACCCAGTACCAGGCTGTTTTGATTACAGTGGCCTTGTAGTATAGTTTAGTGTCAGGTATTGTGATCCCTCCAGCTTTACTCTTCTTTCTCAAAATTTCAGCAGCTATTCGGGGTCGTTTATGGTTCCATATAATTTTTGAAGTGTTTGTTCTATGTCTGTGAAATAAGCCATGGGTACTTTAATAGGAATTGCATTGAATGTGTAAATTGCTTTGGGTAGTATGGACATTTTGATGATATTAAGTCTTCCAATTCATGAACATGGTACATGTTTCCATTTGTTTGTGTCTTCCTTGAATTCTTTCCTCAGTGTTATGTAGTTTTCTAAATACAGGTCTTTTACCTCTTTGGTTAGGTTTATTTCTAGGTATTTTATTTTCCTTTTTGCTATTTCAAATGGGATTTTTTTTCTTGATTTCTGCTTCTGCTGTTTCATTGTTGGTGTACAGAAATGCCTTTGATTTCTGGATATTGACTTTATATCCCACTGTTTTGCCAAATTCATTTATTAGGTCAAGCAGTTTTTTTGTGGAGTCTATAGGATTTTCTATGTACACTATCATGTCATCTGCAAACAGTGACAGTTTTGTTTCCTCCTTTCCAGTTCGGATGTCTTTTATTTCTTTTTCTTGTCTGATCACTGTGGCTAAAACTTCCAGTACTATATTGAATAGAAGTGGTGAAATTGGACAGCCTTGTCTTGTTCTGATCTTAGTGGAAAAGATTTTAATTTTTGCCCATTGAGTACGATGTTGGCTGTAGGTCTCTCATATATGGCCTTTATTATGTTGAGGAATGCTCCCTCTATTCCCACTTTGCCGAGTGTTTTTATCATAAATGGGTGCTGTACCTTATCAAATGCTTTTTCTGCATCCATTGATATGATCATGTGTTTTTTGTCTTTGCTTTTGTTTATGTGATGTATTCCATTTACTGATTTGCAAATATTGTACCATCCTTGCATCCCTGCGATGAATCCCACTTGGTCATGGTGTATGATCTTTTTAATGTACTGTTGGATGCAGTTTGCCAGTATTTTGTTGAGGATTTTAGCATCAATGTTCATCATTGATATTGGCCTGAAGTTTTCTTTCTTTGTTGTGTCTTTATCTGGTTTCGGAATTGGGATGATGTTGGCCTCATAACAAGAATTTGGGATTCTTCCATCTTTTTGAATGTTTTGAAATAGTCTGTGAAGGATAGGGGTTAGTTATTCCTTAAATGCTTTGTAGAATTCTCCTGTGAAACCATCTGGTCCAGGGCTTTTGTGTATTAGGAGGTTTTTGATTACTGCTTCAATTTCTTTTGCTGTTATTGGTTAGTTCAGGCTTTCTGCTTCTTTTTCATTGAGTTTTGGAAGATTATATTTTTCTAGAAATTTGTCCATTTCATCTAGGTTTTCAAATTTCTTGGCATACAGTTCTTCATAGTAATTTCTTACAATGCTTTTTATTTCTGTGGTATCTGTTGTAATCTCTCATCTTTCATTTCTGATTGTGTTTATTTGGGTTT